CTGGCCAGGGTGTCTGGGGGCAAATTGAGCGAGTACCGAGCAGGAGCCATTATCGTCGTAGCCTGGCCACTCCAAGGGCACACATTTACAATCAACCCCGCGCTCGAGCGGGAGCCTTGTTGTTTGAGGAATTGCAGCCGGCGTCGAGGCAAGAGCGCGCGGAATCGCTTCGAAAGATCAACCATGATTTTTTTAGATATGAATATTCACCACCACCAACAACAACGACAACGACAACGACAACGACGACGACGACGACGACAACAGCAGCAACAACAATAACAACAACCAACAACAACGACAACAACCAACCAGCAACAACCAGCAACAGCGACAACAACAACAACTTCACCACCAGCAACAACAGCATTAAGAACAAGAATAGCAGCAACAACGACAACCGCAACAACAACATCAACAACAGCAATATCAATAACATCACCAACAACCACAATAACAGCAACAGCAACAGCACCACCAACAACAACTACAGCAACAATAGCAGCAGCAACAACAGCAACACGAACAACAGCAGCAGCAGCAGCAAAAACATATCCCAAACCCTGACTACCCGCCCTCTTCATATTCGACTGTACCCCTTTCGGGGTATACATTTGTTGCCTGACATGTGTCGTTGGCGCAGCCCCTCAAACAGGAAGACGAGGGAAAAATGAGAAAGGGAAAGAGCGATGACGACGGGAACGAGAAAAGGGAGATAGGAAGATACGGGCAAGAAGGAGAAATGAGGATGGTTAGTTGCGCCGTAACATGCGATTCAGCTTGTGACATGGATTGCGCCTGATGTTGGAACATAGGTTGGCATAGATATTGTCATGGCTTGCGCCATCGTTGTGTCATGTACCATCCCCTTGAGAAACATGACCTGGGTACCCCGAAAGAAGAACTTTACCTGCCAACTGGTGCGAGAAACGCGCGAACGAACTTTTTGAGTGGGGCAGGGGAAATAGTGAGAAGTGCAACCGAATGGGAAAGAGCGCAGGGATGTGGAGTGGAAGGGAAATGAGAGGAGAAGAATGAAGTCAAGGGAGGAGCGGGAAGGAGTAGGAAGAAGAATGGGGCGGAATGCGGGGGATTGGGGATGCACGAAGGATCCGCAAACTGCAAGGATCCTGCAATTCTTGAATACATTGCAAGCAAATCTCCAGCGAGAGCGCAACGGCAGAGCGCCGAGAGAGCGACTCCTGAATAATTTTGTACCGAAGTCCCAAGCGAGAGCGCGATTCCTGAGTAAAACGCGAGGTCTCAGGCGGGAGCGGGGATCCTGGCAAAATTGTGGGAAAATCTCAGGCGGGTGCCGTTGTTGTTGTAACCCGGGGGCCAGGGGCGCAGTTTGACCCTTGCCACCTTCCCTGGTAAAGAACAGGGTGCGAGCCCCAGGGGAAGCACTTCAGTTGAAAAAACACAGTGGTCACCAGAGGGGAGGATCAACCATTATTCTTCAGTAGTGAGAGTTCCACAACAACAACAAACTGTTCGCTCACTCTTCTCTGCTCGCATGCCGTTCAAAACGTATATAACCCTCGATACCCGGTTTCGTCGTCTTCGATCGTACCCCCTTGGGGCTATACCTTTGTTACATGCATCGTGTATTTCATGCAGCCCCTACTGCAGGGGAGGAGAGGACGGATGGAAGAAAGGAACAAGGGGGAGGAAGGAGGATGGAGCGCGAGAGAAAGAGAGAGAGTAGAGGAGGGGGGCTAGGACCAGGAAACACGTGGCAGAACCAGACGGGCAGATCGGGCAGGTAGACTCTACCAGGCGGGTCGGGAAGGCAGGCCCAGGCGGCCAGCTCGAGCAGGCGGGTTGCTGAATCGCGAAGCCTCAAGCGATAGCGCGATTCCCAAGTAAATCGTGAGATAAACCAAAGCGAAAGCGTGATTCCTGAGTGTCGAGGGCGCGGCGTCTGAATAAATTGAAGAAAACACAACGCGAGAGCGCTAGTTCTGCATGAATTGTAGGGAAGTTCCGCGCGAGAGCGCGGTTCTTCAACAAAATGTGAAATAATATCTGGCGGGGGCCGCTGTTGTTGTTGTTGTAAGCCGGAGGCCAAAGACCATGTTCTGAAACTCAAGACTTTCCTTCCACAAAAAGCCTGCGGGCCCCGGGAAAGGATCTTGAGTTGAAAAACACAGTGTGCCCTGGAGGGACGTATTTGCAATAATAGTTTGTAGAGAGTTCAACAACAACAGCAACGACAATAGCAACGGCAACGACGGCAACGACAACGACAACGACAACGACAACAACAACAACCACCACCACCACAACCACAACAACAACAGCAGCAACAACAACAACAACAAAAACAACAACAGCAGCAACAACAACAACAACCATAACCACAACAACAGCAGCAGCCGCAACAACAACAACAACAACGACAACAACAACAACAACAACAACAACAACAACGACAACAACAACAACAATAATAAAAAATAATAACAGCAGCAGCAGCAACAACAACGACAAAAAGCAAACAACAAACAACGACAACAACAACAACCACAGCAACAACAACAACAGCAACAACAGCAACAACAACAGCTGCAACAACCACAACAAGAATAACAACGACGACGACGGCAACAACATCAATAACTGGCATTTCAAGATTGTTCGCTCCTATCTGCTCACGTGCCAATCAATACGTATATCCCAAAACCTCGGCATCCACCCTGGTCGTCGTCAATCGTACCCCCTTGGGGGTACATCGTCCTTACCTGCCACGTGCATTTCGCGAAGCCCCTAAAACAAGGGAAGAGAAGACGGGTGGAAGGGGGAGGGAGAAGAATGGAGCACGAGAGAGATTAGCAGGAGGGGGGCAAGGAACAGAAAACAAGTGGTAGAACCAGACGGGCAGATCGGGTGGGCAGACCCATTGCGGGCAGGTCGGGAAGGCGGGCCCAGGCGACCAGACCGAGCAGGCGGGTTGCTGAAGCGTGGGACCTGCATGAATCGCGAGGAAGTCTCGAGCGATAGCGCGGTTCCCAAGTAAACCGTGAGAAAAGCCAAAGCGAGAGCGTGATTCCCGAGCGCCGAGGGCGCATCGTCTGAATAAACTGCGTGGAAGTCCCACGCCAGAGTGCGATTCGTAGACAAATTGTGGGGAAGTCCCGCGCGAGAGCGCGATTTGGGAATAAAGTGTGAAGAAATATAAAGCCGGAGCCGTTGTTGTTGTAAACCAGGGTCCAACAACACAATTTGAGCCCCGTGACTTTCCCTGATAAGTTAGCCTGGCGAAAGACCCAACCATTTGCAGTTGTGAACACCGTCGTTGTATGCACCGCATTCGGAGGAGCTCCCTATAAGGCCACGAAACGTGTGAGTAGCGTGCCAAAATTTATTCGGCAGGCGCATGCGATAGCAGCCACTGAGGCCGTCGGTGGAATTCCCTATGGGGCCAGGAAACCCGTGGGAGGTGAGCCGAAATAGGTGCGGTGGGCGCATGCGAACGCAGCCACTGGGGCCTTCGGTGGAGCTCCCTATGGGACCGCGAAACGTGTGATGGGTGTGCCGAAATGGGTGCGGTGGGCGCATGCGAACGCAGCCACTGGCGCCTTCGGTGGAACTCCCTGTGGGGCCACGAACCGCGTGAGGGGTATGCCGGAATGTCCGTGGGTGACGCATCCGGGCGGTAGCACTGGGGCCTTCGGCGGAGCTCCTTCTGCGGCCACGACACGTGTGAGAAATGTGCCGACAAGGGTGCGGGGAACGCATGCGGGCGGTGGCACTAGGGCCTTCGGTGGAGCTCCCTATGGGACCACGAAACGTGCGAGGGGTGTGCCGACAAGAGTGTGGGGAACGCATGCGGGCGGTGGCACTAGGGCCTTCGGTGGAGCTCCCTATGGGACCATGAAACGTGTAAGAGGTGTGCCAAAATGGGTGTGGGGGACGCATGCGGGCGGCGGCACTGGGGCCTGCGGTGGAGCTAGCTATTGGGCCACGCAACGTGTGAGGGGTGTGCGGAAATGGGTGTGGAAGACGCATGCGGGCGGTGGCACTGGGGCCTTCGGTGGAGCTGAATATGGGGCCACGAAATGTGTGAGGGGTGTGCCGAAATGGGTGTGGGGGACGCATGCGGGCGGCGGCACTGAGGCCTTCGGTGGAGCTCCCTATGGGGCCACGAAACGTGTGAGGGGAGTGCCGAAATGGGTGTGTGTGTGTGTGTGCGTGACGCATGCGGGCGGTGGCACTGGGGCCTTCGGTGGAGCCCTCTATGGGGCCACGAAACGCTGTACTGCGTGGGTGAAACGCAGGGAGGAGGGAGGAGGGGGAGGAGGAAGGAGGAAGGAATGAATGAGGAGGAGACGCGGGGCGCTGTCTCTTCAAAACGAGGACCTAACACCACAGGATGGTTAGGAAAAACAGGGTGCGAGCCCCGGGAGAGGCACTTCAATTGAAAAAAGCAGTGGTCACCGGAGGGTGGGATCAACAACCACTATTCTTCAGTAGTGAGAGTTCAACAACACCAACAACAACAACAAAATGAACAAGAGCAACCACAACCACAACCACAACAACAACAACAACAACAACAACGCACCAGCATCAACAACAACAAAATGTCAACAACACCAACAACAACAGCATAAGCAACAGCAACAGCAACAATAACCACAACCGTAACCACAACCACAACAACATCAATAACAAAAGCAATAACAACAAACAAAGAAAGTCACAATAAAACCACAACAACAAATACAACCGCAACCAAAACCACAACCAGAACCACACCAACAACAACAACAACAACAACAACCACAACCACCACCACAGCCACAACCACAACGACAACACACAACCAAAACAACCAACGACAACCAAAAAGCAAGAACCACGACAACAACAACAGTAACAATGACAACAACAAGAACAACAACCACCACAATTATAAAATAACAACAATAACATCAGCATCAGTAACAGCAGCAGAAGCAACAACATGAACTCGAGGATGTCGGAGAGGTGCGGGCCTTCCTCGCACCGCAGCGCGGTATCCTTAGCGAGGCTCTCCATGGCATGCACCATCGCTCTGCAGACGTCCTGCCAGAGGCGGAGCTCATCGAGGAGCGGGGAGGAGGGGGATTAGGAGGCGGAGGAGGGAGGAGGGAGAAGGAAGGAGGAGGAGGAGGGAGGAGGAGGAGGGAGGAGGAGGAGCAGGAGCAGGAGGAGGAGGAGGAGAGGAGGAGGAGGAAGAGGAGGAGGAGAGGAGGAGGAGGAGGAGAGGAAGAGAAGGAAAAGGAGGAGGAGGAGGAGCAGCAGCAGGTAGAAGGAAGAGGAGGAGGAGGAGGAGGAGGAGGAGGAGGAGGAGGAGGAGGAGGAGGAGGAGGAGGGGGGAGGAGGAGGGAGGAGGGAGGAAGGAGGGAGGAGGGAGAGGGGGAAAGAGTGGGTGCGCGATTGAGTGAGCCGCCTCCGTCGCGCCGTCGCGTGTCCCCGGGGAGGAATCGAGAACGGAAGCACTCTCGTGAGTCCCGAGAGGTTCCGCTTCCACTGCCCTCTTGCCGGCAGCCCTGCGACTGAAGGGGCGGATGCAGGTGCTCAAGGTTTGGCCGTGGGCAACTGGTGAGAACGACCCACGCCACCAGGTGTCGCGAAAAAACTCACGACGGGCGCTTTCGCTCGCAGTCTCTACATCCGGAGAGGATGAGGGCGCTTCTGGGCCCATGGGGTCATCAAGAAGCAATCCGCGATGAAAAACCGGTCAGAGGGATGAGCATAGAGCTTCAGGGCCCTCGTCATGAAAGGATCAAGACGTCGAAGTCTGCGGGTGATGACATTGATGACGATGATGTCGAGAACAAGAGCGACAAGCGGAGAAAAGTACTACTACAACGTGATCATTCCAACACTGTGCTATGACAGTGTGTAGTTGATCAGTGCGTGCCAGCGCAGGCCTGATAGCAGCAGGGTTCTGCAGGCAAGCACCATGACATTCATTGCTGCGCTCGGGCTTCACAGCTCCTAACATTACGTTGAGAATGGAAAGACACCCTAGCGCTGATGAGACTGTCGAAAGAGGCTGGTGTCCCACACGAGACAGACCCGCAGCGACTGAATTCAGGGGCCCAGAAACCGAAAGCCTAAGCTGTACACTGGCGAGGGGAGCTGAGAGCGCGGGGACCGGCTCAGGGGCAGACGCCGGCGAGCTCTGCATCTCCAGAAGCCTCTGGAGGTCTCCGGAAGCCTCCCCAGGTCCATGGAGGCCCAGCGCAGGCAAACAACATTTCTGTTGTTGATCTGCAGGGCGAGAGCGAACCTCTTCCGCTGAAAGCTAAGCGGGACGCGCACAGCTTGAATTAGCAGAGAGAGGCAGGCAAACAACACCCGACAGCCCTGGCCCTCAAACCTCGACCCCCGGGCCCGCCGTCCGCTGAAAGCGGCTTCACAGACCCCTCCTGGGCCCCATTCAGCGAGCGAAGAACGGTATAAAATAAACTTTCCGCCGTCGGGGACACCTGCCCCTGGGCGGCTGGAAAATTTATACCCCTACGGTGCACCGTAAGGGTATAAACTTTCCAGCCGCCCTGGGGCAGGTGTCCCCGACGGCGAAAAAGTTTATTTTATACCGTTCTTCGCCCGTCCTGACAAATTGTCACGAGCCACGTCCAGTCGTGGCAACGAGAACCTCGGGAGACACCCAAGAATCTCCGAAGCGACGGCGGTCGTCCTGCTTCCCTTTCGGCACCCTCCGATTCCGGCCGACGCTGCCCTTGCCCTACCAAAACGCCAAAGAACTACGCGAGGCCTTGGGAATGGCATGCAGGAGGCCCCCACTACGACCACTCATCCAACGCCCCCTGCCACCCTTCTCTCCTCCTCCCCGTCCTCCTCCGCCTCCTCCTCCTCTTTCTCATACTCCCGCCCTTCCTCCTCCTCCTCCTCCTCCTCCTCCTCCTCCTCCTCCTCATCATCATCATCATCATCACCATCATCATCATCAGCAGCAGCAGCATCATCATCATCAGCATCATCATCATCATCATCAGCATCATCATCATCAGCATCATCATCATCATCATCATCATCATCATCATCATCATCATCATCATCATCATCATCATCATCATCATCATCATCATCATCATCATCGTCATGTTCCTCCTCCTCCTCCTCATCTTCCGCCTCCTCCTCCTCCTCCTCTTCCGCCTGCTCCTTCTCCTCCTCCTCCACTCCTGTTCCTTATTCATAACTTATCCCTGTCGCACCCCGAGGCCAGTTGTTCGGGCGGTCCGCGCGTTTCGCCTGAGACTTCCTCACCACTTATGACCCTGAATCTCCAGAGTTGAAAACAGTTTCACAAATGGAAGGCGGGTTTGTCAAAATGTGGCTCTCGCCTTAGCGCCGCACATATTTGTTTTAAAAAATGAAAGAGTTTCACGAATTGAGGGCGGGTCGTTTTCAAAATGTGGCTCTCGCCTGAGCGCCGCGCACATTCGTTTTAAAACTTGCAAGAGCTTCACGGATTGAGGGCAGGTCGTTTTCAAAATGTGGCTCTCGCCTAAACGCCGCGCACATTCGTTTTAACAAGTTGCAAAGAGTTTCACGGATTGAGGCCAATTCCTTGCCAGAATGTGTCTATCGCCTTAGCGCTGCGCACATTCGTTTTCAATATTTGCATAAGGTTCACGGATTGAACGCGGTTCCTTTTCAATATGTTGCTTTCGCCTGAGCAACACGCACACTCGTTTATTGCCAGAGTTTCACGGATTCCCATGATCAGCGTATCAAAATGGTGTTTTTGTTGGAAGGTTTCTGGATTTCGAGGGTGTAACAGTTAAGTATGTTGGCTCGCGGTGCTGAGGTCCCACGAATGGTGTTCTGGCATGATTCAAGATCATCAAGACGCAACAGCCAAGTTGATCCGTGGCGGTGAACCCCGAGAACAGTGATTTGACATGCTTCAGGCTCCTCAAACGGTTGTCGTCCAACGAGGCAATTCCCTCAGTGCAAATGAACCGTTGTAAGGGCCTATGATGAGGGAGCTTGGAAAGAGGGTGTACTTCAACCTCGTTGATGACCCCTGGGTTTCCGCTACTCCTCCTCCTCCTCCTCCTCCTCCTCCTCCTCCTCCTCCTCCTCCTCCTCCTCCTTCACTCCTCTTCATCCTCCCTCCTCCTCCTCCTCCTCCTCCTCCTCCTCCTCCTCCGCGTCCTTTCCTTTATCCTTGTAAATAACTCATCCCTGTCGCACCCCGAGGCTGGTCGACAAGGCGGGCAGGCGCTTCGCCTAAGACTTCTGCACCAGTGATGATCGTAAACCGTAAAACTGGCAACAGTTTCACATACAGAGGGCGGGCCAGTTCCAAAACCTGGCCCTCGCCCTAGCGCCGCACATACTCGTCTTTAAAATTGATGTTTTTCATTGGTTGATTGCAGGCCATTTTCAAAACGTGGCTCTCGCCTTAGCTCCGCGCACACTCGACTCAAACATTTGCAAAAGCTTCACGGATTGAGGGCAGCCCCATTTCAAAATGTGGTTATCGCCTTAGCAACGCGCCCATTAGCTTTTTCCCCACATCCTGAGTGGGGTTCTTGTTTTCCCGGAACATCCTCTCCTCCTCCTCATCATCATCCTCCCGCTTCCTCCACCATCCCATACTGTATCATACCATACCAATACCATGCCACTCCATACCATACCTTACCATACCATACCATGCATCCACCATCCCATACCATACCATGCCTTTCCTCACACCATGTTATTTACCAGGTTTCGTGCCCCTCCCACCCCTCCAGGGAGGCCCCGCCTGAGCGAGCAGGGTATTCGCACACCATGTTATTTATCAGGTTTCGTGCCCCTCCCACCACTCCAGGGAGGCCCCGCCTGAGCGAGCAGGGTATTCGCACACCATGTTATTTATCATGGTTTCGTGCCCCTCCCACCCCTCCAGGGAGGCCCCGCCTGAGCGAGCAGGGTATTCGCACACCATGTTATTTATCAGGTTTCGTGCCCCTCCCACCCCTCCAGGGGGCCCCGCCTGAGCGAGCAGGGTATTCGCACACCATGTTATTTATCAGGTTTCGTGCCCCCCATCCCCCGCTATTCGCACACCATGTTATTTATCAGGTTTCGTGCCCTCCCACCCCTCCAGGGAGGCCCCGCCTGAGCGAGCAGGGTATTCGCACACCATGATATGTATCGGGTTTCCTGCCCCACCCATCCCTCCAGGGAGGCCCCGCCTGAGCGAGCAGGGTATTCGCACACCATGCTTATTTATCAGGTTTCGTGCCCCTCCCACCCCTCCAGGGAGGCCCCACCAGAGCGGGAAGGGTGTTCGCACACCATGTTATTTATCAGGTATCCTGCCCATCCCACCCCTCCAGGGAGGCGCCGCCTGAGCGAGCAGGGTATTCGCACACCATGTTATGTATCAGTTTTCGTGCCTCTCCCACCCCTCCAGGGAGGCCCAGCCTGAGCGAGCAGGGTATTCGCACACCATGTTATTTATCAGGTTTCGTGCCCCTCCCACCCCTCCAGGGAGGCCCCGCCTGAGCGAGCAGGGTATTCGCACACCATGATATTTATCAGGTTTCCTGCCCCACCCATCCCTCCAGGGAGGCCCCGCCTGAGCGAGCAGGGTATTCGCACACCATGCTATTTATCAGGTTTCGTGCCCCTCCCACCCCTCCAGGGAGGCCCCACCAGAGCGGGAAGGGTGTTCGCACACCATGTTATTTATCAGGTATCCTGCCCATCCCACCCCTCCAGGGAGGCCCCGCCTGAGCGAGCAGGGTATTCGCACACCATGTTATTATAAGTTTTCGTGCCTCTCCCACCCCTCCAGGGAGGCCCAGCCTGAGCAAGCAAGGTATTCGCACACCATGTTATTTATCAGGTTTCGTGCCCCTCCCACCCCTCCAGGGAGGCCCCGCCTGAGCGAGCAGGGTATTCGCACACCATGTTATTTATCAGGTTTCGCGCCCCTCCCACCCCTCCAGGGAGGCCCCGCCTGAGCGAGCAGGGTATTCGCACACCATGTTATTTATCAGGTTTCGTGCCCCTCCCACCCCTCCAGGGAGGCCCCC